GCTTTAGTGAAGTTCAGACACATAAGATTAACTGCATTTTCTTTGTGTAGAAAATCAATTATCCTATCTAGGAAAGCTATCAGGTTAATCTGGCATGTTGTAGCTTTGGTAAATCTATGTTGCATTTTATCTCATTTTCCATTTGCTTTTATCTTTTCCAAAATCGATCTTACGCTAACTGTATCCAGAACTATATCTCTGCATTTCACTAGGGGACAAAAGGAAATCACTGTTTCTGGATTTGCAAAAGAAACAGCGTGGAAGGGGCCAACCATCTTGGCACACATAGCACAGATAAGCCTGTGCCTTTCTGGCATGCCACTTGGATTCTCTTCCTCTGCACAATCTGCTGCTGTGCTTTCTGCTCCCTGCCTTGTGCTTCCTGCTGTATCGGTTGCTCTGCTTTATGCTCCTTCTCTATTCTGCCATGTGCCACGCACAGGGGCAGCCTGTGCCACTTCTGGTATGCATGCTACAGATTGGCTACCCTGGCATAGAATGTCACCAGCATTTTTGACAATATAGCCTATAAGCTCATGATCTCTTGTAGTATCTTCAAGTAAGCACTGAACAAGAAAGGTGACATACAGAGTCCTATGAGGTGTACCTCAGGGAGAGCAGTCACCCAGCATTTCCCTCGAGACTTCTTTGCTAGGAATGAATAGAATGTCTTTCTTCAGTGCCTGGTTTTATCAAGTCAAAGTACCTCAGAATAAATGCTAGAGAAATTTGTTGAAATATCTTAGAGGATCAAGGATATTTTTATTAATGCAACTGGCTCAGTTTGAGCTGGAGTAATCTAATTCCAACATCACAGTCTACATATGTGTTTAAACACAGTAATGTACTGTGCTGCAGATACCGCTTGCATCTGACAGAACTATCCGGCTGTGCAGTAAATTAGTCTGCTGCGCAGTAAAGCATCTCATGTAGATGTGCCCAGAGAGTGTCAGCTATTGGGACAAGTGTTGTTTTCATGCCGTGACCAGGTCTGGAACCTAGCTGGTGTCCAAAGAACTTCAGGGTGTTACTTGCTGCTGGATTTGGCCTAACACTATTTTCTTAACAGTTGTACAAAAAAGAATATGTCCTAAAGTAAATGTTTCCATAAGTTTCAGCAATATCACTATTTTTAAATGCTTTCTACTTTTAGGAGAGTTCAGTGTTTGTGACACTGTCCTATATCAAAATGAGATGAATTGTTTTAATAAAACACACAAACGACACTAGGATTTCATAGGCATCCCACTGGGAAGGGATGGGGCTAGAGAACCAAGTGGTTCTTTTAGATTGTAGTCTTTCACAAATTATTCAAGATGTTTAAAAGATTAAAAAATAAATAAAATTAAGGTTTCCAATAATTTCTCTTTCAGGAAGTTATTATAATGAAATTATAATGTTTCTTTAACTGTAATTTTCTTGGAGAAGAAACCATGCTTCTCCAAGCAACTGCTTGAGAAGCAATTAGCACATTGCAAGCATTAATGCAGTTAATGTAATATGTGATGATTACAATTGTCTGGTCTCTTAAAGAAATCAAGCAATTTCCAGTACATCATGAAGAATGTGTGACTTTGTTCCCCTAACCCTTCTGAGGCAGACCAAACAATTTTAAATGGATTGTGTGTGACACATGACTTTACACTACTATCAGGGTTTCCCTCATTCTGCTCTGATTTCTATTTTGGTACAGCAAGTTAAACTTTTACATTTCTTACTTGCTGTTCATTCAGTATTTGTATAAGTTCTCTCTCAAGCTCTATAAATGACATTTCCTGACTTTTGTAAATAATATTATTATTATAAATATTAAACTGTATCCCTAAAGTTTGTTGTGTGTAGTATTGCTTATGAAATAAGTATTGCTTATGTAGTATTGCTTATAAAATAAAAGACCATTCAGATATCAAACTCAAAAGAGCTTTTTTTGTCAAGAGTCAGTGCCCCTTGAATTTGCTACCTGTGGAAAAGTGATTAAAATGAATACTTTTATGAGAACTGATGAATCCCAGTTTCCTAGCTGACTGGTAAAGCTGTTAACTGCAGAGGACCAAGGTGTTTAGCCTCCCTTAATGAGACCTTCAGTGTGTCATCTTGTAGGTCATCCCAATTACCATGGTGATAGGTGTAGCATTAAATGCCTGCAAATGTAACAACAGCAAACACCCATCAGTGCAAAAATAATGTAAGGAAGAATGTGACCTATCTATTGCTGATAGGCTCTTGCTTTTACCATTCTCAGCGCATATGATTTACACTATAGATCATAACAGGCTATAATACTACAATTTCCATAAATCAGCAGTTTAGTCTTTGATTTGAACCCATGGCTTGGTAGTCTCTTGCATGCAGCGTGTATGTAGGATCATAGGAGTGTAGGGCTAAGAGGTCATCTAGTCCAACTCCCTGCTTAACCATCACAGTCAAGGGCGTCTCCAATCTGGTCTTGGACATTTCCAGAGATGGAGGTTCCGCAACTTCTCAAGGTAGCCTGTTCCAATGCTTGACCACCCTCCTATTCAGCAAGTTCCTTCTAATCTCCAACCTAAATTTCACCTTTTGCAGCTTGAGTCCATTGCTCCTAGTCTTGTTCCCTGTTGCCACAGAGAAAAGCACATTTCCTTCCTATCTATAATTGTTCTTCGGGTATATGAAACCCATTATAAAATCCCCCCTTCAGTGTTTTCTTCTCCAGACTAAACAACCATAAGTCTTGCTTCCCAGGTTGTTAATCATTTTTCTTGCTGTGTCCTGGATTCTTTCCAGTCTGTTTATCTTCTTCTTGTGTGGCCCCAAACTGGCCACATTACTTCAGGTGAGGCCTTGCCAGTGCTAAATAGCAAGGAAGAATCACTTTCCCTTGATTTGCCTCTTAATATAACCCAATATTACTGTTGCTCTCTCTCTTTTTTTTCCCAACAAGACCATGCAGTTGGCTCTCATTCACCTTATGGTCCACTTTAACTCCTGGATTTTTTTCTTTAGTACTGCATCCTAGCCAGTCATTCCCCAGTCTGTATTTGTACAAGCAGTTATTCTGTCCCAGTGCAGGACTTTGCACTGCTCCTTGCTTAATCTTATCTAGTTAATTGTGTACTATTTCTCCAGTCTATCTATTTTGGATCCTAGCCCTACCCTCCATAGCATCTGCAACTGTATCCCACTTGGTGTTATCTGCAAATTTGCTAACATGATTTAAATCATATTGTCCATTAATGAAGATATTAAACAATACTGGGCCCAGGACAGACCCCTGGGGAGCCCTACTTGATACCTCCTTCCAAGAAGACATTGAGCAATTGATGACTATGTGTTGAGCACCAGCCAGTTACGTACTTTCATCTAGTCTATATTTCCATAGCTTGTTACAAAACAATGTATGGGAGAAAGTGTTAAAAGCTTTCTAGGTACTGTACTGAGGTTAGGCTGACTGATCTAATTGACCCAGATACTCCTTCTTCCCTTTTGTAAAAGACGGGCACTATCTTTGCCTTTTTACAATCATTCATATGAAATAATCCCCATAGACCCAATAATATCTATGAAATCTGTAGAAGAGTGCATTTTCTCTGTAAAACAGTTGAAAAGCTTAACAATTTTTTGATACATAGCTATTATGGAACCCCATCCAAATCTGTCTTGCATCTATCAAATGAGCAAACGGATAGGTAGGACTTTGTTTACAAATGATTGCAAAATTATATCCTCTAGTCCAGAATCCCAAATTGTGTTTACAATGCCCAGGGGTGACCACATAGGCAGCTTATTGCCAGAACTGCTTTCCTTATGTATTGGGAAAGTGTGTCACGGCCCACACGGTGCTGGCTGGGTGTGGAGGTAATTCTCCACAGCCGTGGTGCCTTGTACTTTGGCAAGAATACTTTCTATCCCTTTCTCATGCTCTTTGTATTTCTGCCTTTTCTCCTAACTTTTTTAAAGTTCTAGCTCAGCAGGAGGGTGGGGGTCAGCAGCTGTTGTATGACTAAAATCCTGAAAGATGATATAAAATACACACTGAATATTTTCAGGGAGAAAATTGGAATGCTAGGAGTGTTGTTGTTTTTTTTAAAGCAGTTTTCATATTAATGTACACTCCCATAAATATTTCTTCTTATAAAATAAGCATCCTAAGCCTCATAGGTATAATTACAGCTGGTTTGAGATTTTTTGTTGTTGTAGGTTAGCTCTTTGGCCTGCTTAAAAGCAGGTGGAGATCTTACTCTAGCTCCAAGTGGATAAATATTCTTGCTACTCAACTTGCCACCCCAGCCGGTACTTACTGACACTCTTGGCAGAAAAGGGAAACGGGGCAAGTAATTCCCTTGCTTTTTGAGATAGATTTATGTTGGTGGATTCAGCAGGGAAACTCGCGCTGCCATTGCCAATGGAATGTTCTATAACTGTAAGACTTCATTCTTTAGGGGGGTCAATCTTACATCTTTGTCTAGCACTACATTAATTTAAACATTAAATTAAAAGGTTTTCTTAGGTTTCTGCCTACTGTATTTTACATATTTCAAGGTTTATTTCTAGCTGTTTGAATTATTTTGATGAACAGCTGATTGGTACATAAGTACCTGTTTAAAATACATTTCCGTATTTTTTAACTTTTTATAAAACTTTACAGGCAACCCCCTTTTAACACTGTTTTGCTTAGCGCTATTTCGCTATAAATTGATACCTGATTTCACTTAGTGCTCAGCAAGTTTCGCTATAAAGCTCGCAGTCGCCATCTTGGGTCATTAAAAAGACTTGCGGTCGCCATCTTGGGTTGTCAAATACTTTCAGTTTCACTTAATGCTTGTTTCACTTAACGCTTGGTTTTTCAGGAACCAATTAAGAGCACTAAGCGGCAGTTGCCCGTTTATTAAAGGTTGAGATTTACTGTGTTTTTTCATTAGAAGCAGAAACTAAATTAATGGTGGTATCACAGACTGTTAAGTATCAATAGGTTGATTTTGTAATAATTGTATTAATGTCGTTACATTTTACTTTCTCAGGACTCCAAAGGATGAGATTACAACAGAAGCTCTGAAATATGCTGAGCAGCTTCCTGTAGCTCAGATTATACACCAGGTATGTCTTTCCATTTCAAGTACTTTCTTTGAGAAAAAACAGGATTTCTAATCTTTACAGTGTAATGCTTTTTGTTAGATTGTATGGATTCAGTGTGCTTGTGCTTAGACTAGAAACCCACAAAAGCCATGTATCCCTCTTTAGATGACAACTGTTAAATCGTAGCAGTCTTATTCAAAGCATGCTTACCGAATGATGCACCTCACATTGCACCATGGCACTAGTTGTAGCTAAAATGCATACATCTTCAGTGATTTCCCTCCCCCACCCCCTGTCCTTCAAAATATAACTTTGGCCTCTTCCAACATGCATGTTGGCTTTCTTTCTGTCACATGAAAACACAGCCAAACTATAGTAGCATTATCATAGAGCAATTGTTAGAAAGAGTCATACTTTCTTTCTCAGCACAGCTGATTATTACAGCAAAAAATCAATGATGGAGTTTTTGCTCAATATTTCTTTCTAATTTGGGCTGTATTTTAACTGCTGGGCCATTGGGCCAGATGTTGATATTGCCTAAGTGGTCTATTATCTATAGCTGTGGCCTTCAGATACCACTGACTTTGAACTGTGATAGATTAACAAGAGGAAATGGGAGTTCACCAAGTGTCAAAGTTGATTGGAAAATCTCATGAGTATTAATTATTATTGTAGATTTTTCCAAATATCTTTGTCAAGCAAAGGATTTTTATGCAGTTGAATTGCTTGCTGCAGGCAATGCCAGCTTTAGCTTAAAGGAAACATGAGCTTTATTTTAAAACTTTCAAGTGTACAGGCCTTTTCTGCAACATGTAAACACAAGGGATTTTTAAAACTTTTGGCTTAAATCTGCACCTCTGGGAAGAATATCTGATGTGTTCAGAACATGGAAGATTGGAAATCAGGACCAGTTTGTATGTCAGGAAGTCCCTGGTGTTGTCAGAGCTTCAAATGACCCAACAGCCTGCAAATGTCACATTTAAAATTCTGTCTTCATGCCTGACTCTCAGCATAAATGAATTAAACAGCAGAGCAGGCAGCCAGTCAATATGTTTTTTAACAGTGAGAGTGAGCAATGAAACAGTTTGCAGGTTGTTTGGAATCAGTAAATAGAAAGTGCACAGAATGGGTTCACCTAGAGGAAAATCTGAAACAGGAAACAGAATTAACCTTTAAGATGGTTGACCAGATGAAATGTCATAGTAACATTTTTACAGCATAAAGTAATAACCACGGAGGGTTCATTTGGCTACTGAGCACTGTACTGCAGTGGAATACCACATTGTAGAGAGTCAGAAATATGGTTTTCGTGTAGTCAAGCTGCCTACTATAACAAATGCCTACCAGTATTATAGCGCAGACCCAGATACCTGGAGATGTCTCTGATATAGATAGACTAGTTGCTCCCGCCTTTTATTTCAGTAGCATGTTAAGAAGGACCTCCTGGTTCACCTGCCACAGGCTGCCAGGGGTGGTTCTGGGCTCCTCAAGTACTGTGATTATCAGGGAACCGGGTTTTCTGTTTTCTGTGGAAAAATATGGATTTTCTCCTTTAAAGGAGAAAAAAGCAGGAAACCATGGGTTTCCACATGCAGGTTGGCTGAGTTCCAGCCTGCAAGGGGCTGCTTGGGGTTGGAGGGAACAAAATGCAGGGGGCGCCATATGTACGTGCGCATGCACACATGCACATGGCAGCCAGGCATTGTGGTGGAGAGTAGCTCCCGCAGCTTCCTCTAGGTAAGTCTGTGAGAAGGGGGGCACAGGCAGCAGGGCAGGGGGGCTTAGGTGACAAGGTTGGGGGAATGGGGAGCACAGGCGACACAGTGGATGGGGACAGGGGACACGTGCCCCCCCCCGAAGATTTCTATAAACTGAGTGGGGCTCAGGGCTACAGTCAGGCTGAACCAGCTCTGGGCAGGAGTTGCTTCTGCTGCCCAGTGGGTGGGACTCGGCACAGGAGGCAGCTCTGCGCCACCATGCCCACCAAGATGAGTCACTCTCTGCCTGCCCAGCAGCAGTGTGGGGGGGCACAACTCTTCGCTGCTGCTGCCATGCCTCATCTTGGCCATGGTGGCCTGGCACTCCCTTCCATGCTGGGTCCCACCTGCTGGGCTGCATAGGCAGCTCAGGCCAAGATGCACCCCAGCACCAAGCCCCTGCTTCCCCAGTGCATTACCTATGCCCACACTCCCCCTTACCTTCACACCCACCCCATTTCCCATACACTCACCCGCTTCCTCACACTTGGGGCTGGGGATGGGAGGCAGCAAGTTGGGAGTGAGGGACCCTGGCAGGGCCAGAGGGCTGTGAGATGGGAGTCAAGGTCCTTGTAGGACTGGTGGACCTGTGGCTTGGGAGTGAGGAGCAATGGTATGGGCAGGGGCAGGACATCAGCATGTCAGGGCTGCTCAGCACAACAATGCAGTGGGGGAGGGGGCAGGGCAGCCACAGCTGGACCTACATCCTGATGAGTGAAGGGGACATGGAGTGCTCTGATTTTTCCACAATAAAAAAAAAAATTCAACACCAAAATATATTGGTATTTAGAATTAGTTTTATTATAATGATTGAGGGAGTGGTTGCTTTAAAATTGTAAATATATCAATAAAACACTGTGTTCAACGGATACCTATATACATAGTGGCATTTCATTTTAATCATGGAAAAATGTGTATTTAGGGTTTTTTTTTAAATCAGCAAATGCAGGATTTTTTTTTTTTTTAAATCAGAGAATTTCAGATTTTTAAACAGCATGAATCAGGATCAGTGATGATTACTTTAGCATAGTCTTCCCTAGAACTAATGCCTGACAATAGAAGCATATAACACAAGACTTTGCAGAGATTCTATAAAACACACTTCTTACTGTAGATAGCACAAGAACTAGATAAATCTAAACAAAACAATGAAATTGTATGCTTTTCCCTGCTCAGTTTCCTCACCATTCTTGAGTGTTCTTTGGGCTGAGTTCAGAGTCCCCTATGGTCTTCTCCTGCTGCTCCAAATCATGGAGTCCGTCTCTTGCTGACCCTGCAGTCATTGCTTGTTTGCTTTCTAAAAATGCTTCTGAGAGATGTTTTCTCTTATAACAGTTCCCTTTTGTTTGGATATCTCCAAATCAGCCTTGTAAGATGATCATAATCTTTCACTGAATGATTAATTGCTTAGCAACATTTACCCTTGGAAAAAAACTTTAAATGCATTGGTTGGTAATCTTCTCTTTGTCCAAAGGTGAATCATTTGAATTAGATGGTCTTCAAAGTTTTAATTAACTTCCAGTACAGTACTCCCAATTTACGCGAGTATTGCATTCCGGGAGAATTTCGTGTAAGTCGAATTCGCGTAAGTTGGGATGACTTTCCCCATAGGAAATAATAGAATAGTGAGGGGTTGTGTACTCCAGACATACCTTAGTCGTAGATTTTTTCCCCCCTTTTCTCAGTGGAATTGCCTTTAGGAGGCGTGTCTAGTGTCTCACCTATGTATCTTGAGATGCTGCTACCACAATGGCAGCACAGCTCCGCTTGATTCCACATGCAGATCTTGTGAGGCATTCACGTATATATGCAAATCTTGTGAGCGTTCATGTATATACATGAATGATGCGCATCTCGAGGGGCATTTTCCAGTCTGGACCCTAATAAAAAATCGTGTAAACATGAGACGCGCGTAAGTCGGAATCGCGTAAATTGGGGGTCTGCTGTATTAGTTCTGTAAATAGGTGCAAGATTTTCATCTATATTTCAATATGAAGCCTAAAGACCCCATAGAAAACAAACTCTGGACTCAGAAAGGAGTGTACATTCTGAAATAAGCATAGAAAGACTTGTTAGCATCAAACATTTTATAATCTGAATTTAGATTTCTTAAAGCTGTCAGTGCTGAAGAATGTTTCAATTATCTAAATAGATAGCTGTCAACTGGAGGCAAGTAGCCCCAGCAGCGCTACGTCAGGTCCTGAGAGCCTCCTGGGGTATAGTAGCAACGATCCTGCCACTCAGAGCCTGGCCAGCAGCCATAGCACAGCTCCAGCTGGTCAGGTTTTGAGCAGCGCACACTGCCCCCATGTGCGCCGCTCTGCTTTTTATTTGTTTTTTGTTTTGCATGGGTTCTTTTTGACCCCTGGATATCCACATACCACAGCTGAATGTGTGGTATGTGGCGCCACAGACATGTCTGTGGCTCCATGTACCGCGTAGCTGTGCTTGTCTGGATGCAGCCCATGAGTGCAACCACTGATTTGTTGCAGTTGAGGAGTGTGTGCTCCTGTCCTGCAGTAGGTAGAAGCTGAACTGAAAATCACCTTAGAAAGAAACATGTGCTAAGTTAACCATGTTTAATTTTCACGAACTGCTAGATCAGCGTTTCCCAACTGGTGTGCCATGGCACACTGGTGTGCTGTCAGACACGTCCAGGTGTGCTGCAGAATCTTGCGTGGGGCCTGGCTACTGCCACTGCATCCCGGCCAGGCCTGCGCCGATTACTCCCCCGCCCCCCACTTCACATTTGGCTGCTTGCCACGACCCCCCATCGCTCCACTTTTGGTTGGTGTGCTGTGGGACAGAAAAAGCTGGGTAAATGTGCCGTGGGACAGAAAAAGTTGGACAACGCTGTGCTAGATAGAATTAATTTGAAGAACAGTTACAGTTGAGCAGCTTGAAACTAAGTCCCATACCTTCTAAGTGGGTATAACTGGTTAATCTGCCCATCTATTTTGTTCATGTCCTGTGTATCATTACATTTCCTGCAAAATTTCCTTAAGTCTTTAAAACTTGATTTCTAACATGATCTCCTATTTTTAAACCATGGTAATGTGGTAACCAGTAGAAACCTCTTTGATTTCTAAAGTTTGCTCCATGAGAGCAATTCAGGTACAATAAATACTGTGTATAAATTCCATCAAAAGAAAATAAACTATCTAATTTTGAGTTCAATACTGGGTTTCTTTTATTAGTAGTAAAAATAAAGCAACAGCCCTCCCAAAGAGCTTCCAGGTCTAAAGTAAGAGTCATGTTAAACTT